CGACTGTAATCGGAACTGCACTACGAAAATGCAGCTTTTCCATCAACCTCTTACCATACCCATAGGAAAAGGGGTTCGACAGGGCGGCACAATATCGCCAAATCTGTTCAGTGCCGCACTGCAGTGGATAATGAAGTCACTCGATTGGAATGGAAAGGCATACGTAATGATGGAAAATTTCTATCAAACCTTCGTTTTACCGACGACATTGTCATCTTCTCAAAAAGTATTAACGAAGCANGGGCCAAAATTTACATGTACTACTCGCAGATCATATGACAGACTTCCTTCAAAAGGACAAAATCGCAGAACAGTGGAGGACGTTGCGCACGGTCATCCTGCCCAAGAAAGGAGACCAAAAGGATCTTCGTAGCTATCATCCTATATGCCTATTGAGTGTGCTGTACAAGCTCTTCACGAAGATTATGCTCTTGCGCATATCAAGGACACTGGATGAGGCGCAACCAGTCGAACAAACGGGATTTCGGAAAGGATTTTGCTGCATGGACCACATCTATACCGTGTCCAGGGTCATCGAAGTTTGTCGGAAATACCACTTGCCTCTAGTCCTAACCTTTGTCGACTACGAGAAAGCGTTTGACAGTGTCGAAATGAATGCAATCCTATCAGCGCTCATCGACCAAGGACTGGGTCCATCCTACAGAAGAACTCTGTCCGACTGTAATCGGAACTGCACTACGAAAATGCAGCTTTTCCATCAACCTCTTACCATACCCATAGGAAAAAGGGGTTCGACAGGGCGGCACAATATCGCCAAATCTGTTCAGTGCCGCACTGCAGTGGATAATGAAGTCACTCGATTGGAATGGAAAGGCATACGTAATGATGGAAAATTTGTATCAAACCTTCGTTTTACCGACAACATTGTCATCTTCTCAAAAAGTATTAACGAAGCAGAGGTGATGATCAACGAGCTCAACGAAGCGGGGAAAAAGATCGGGCTTCGCATAAATCGAAAGAAGACCCAGTTCATGAAAAACCCATGGTGCAAAGGCGAAAAAATTGAATTGAATGGCTCTCTCATTGCAGAGACCACCTAGTACGTTTACCTTGGGCGATCAGTGAACGTGAAAAACAGCATGAAGGAGGCTAGACAGAAGAAGGAGAACAGCTTGGACCGCATTCTGGTCTCTCGAAGAAGCCACCGACCAACTGAAGGACCCGAAAATCCGTGCACATCTCTTTGATTCTACGGTTCTCCCAGCGCTCTGTTATGCTGCAGAGACGTGGGTTGATACTTCAACGGCGTCAATAACACTTCGAACTGCTCACAGAGCCCTTGAGCGATGTCTTTTGAAATATAGCCGGCACCCTCATTATGTAGGCGGAATGCGAAGCTCTGACCTTCGAAATCTGTCACATCTTCGAGATCAAGGAGAAAATTCATCGACAGCGAAATATAGATGGCCCGGTCACAAAATGAGAAGAACAGACGACAGATGGACGAAAAAAACAGTAGAGTGGATTCCAAGAGAATGGAAGGACTACCACCAACACGTTGGGCCGACGTGTTAGTAAACAAAGTTAATCAGCTGTACCCACAGCTGCAGTTGTTTTACAGATCACGGCATGAGACTCGCAAGCGCTACCATGCTCGAAGAAGACCACCACCATGGACTACGATTGCGAGAAGAAGGAACGAATAGCATATGTGCTAGGGTCCACACAGCTCGGAAGACGGACCGTCCAAGTATCCAAGTAAGTATCCAAGAAAATGTCGTGAACTTGAATGATCGATAATCGATAGAGTTAAGGACGAAGTATAACGATGACACTTTCTCAACATCTTCAGCTAAAGAATAAATTCTAACGCCTTTTTTTCTCTTAGACTGTAAGATGCAATTTAGCCAAAAGTGACAAGTACGCTTGCGGAAAACAGGAAAAATGTTTGAAAATCTTAAAGTATAACAACATAAAAAATAAGGATCGAAATATTCTTCGTGACTGATTCTCCTATGGTTCGCTACTTAACATCGATCCTTTATTATTGTCTGACTGGTAGTCAGTTGTCTTAACGTAAAGGTTCACGTAATAATCGTCAGCTGCCAAGCTTGATGAGATTTCCATGTTTTTCACCATTTCTGTTTGCTTCATTATAGTCAACTTCGACAAAGAAGCAGCATTTTACCTAATTTTTACTTCAATCTTTTGAAAATAACAGTTATCACAAAGCTGGAAAAATCCAGATGTTCTGTTTAAGGAAAATATGCCAAAGGCCGAAATCAACCCTGAAATTTCAAGTGGCGGCAGAACGTTCGTCCTTTCATGCACATGTCCATATTTGAATATAATTTGGTTGGATAATCATTGTCACAATGAAAACACGTGTGAAAATTGGCGAAGAAACTTAAAAACGCAATCGAAGTGTGCTGCACGTCTTTATTTTCCTCCGGCACGCCAAACGACAGAAATGCAGAAATTTCATGTGTTGACGAGAGTCGCGTATTTCAACATTACTGCAGACGACCATTGAAGGCAGCTGGCCTTCGTCAACGATCATGAACACACAGATGTAACAGATGACGGTAGGTGTTGTAGTGAAATCCAGTGGACGACTGTAACTGCCACAAACTCGCCAAATTAAAAGTTGCTGTTTGTAGCACGGTTATAGTAATTTGTAGTAGCGCCGAATGAGGCCATTGTGAGCAGAGCTTTTACTGTTTATACGTTTACAGATAGTTTTTCACGAACACCGATGGTAAAACTTCCAGATATCTATGATTATAGATGTCTGTCCCGTGACGGAAAGAAATTGATGCAAGACTGGTTATGCGAGGGAATTACTAAAAAATCGAACTATTCAGGCATGTTCTTGGCTTAAAGGATAATTACCGTAATGGATTTTACCAAATGAAGCGTAATCTTTCTTGCTTAGGCCAAAAGGAAAGGATTTCTATTCCAAGAACACTAGAACTACATTTATGCGTTCACGGTGCTCCTCATCGTCGTACAAATAAAATGTGCATTCAAATTACAATTAAAGGACTTTTTGTTCCCACTAATAATCTTTGTTTATCAAATTTATTAAATTTGGAATGTTTCTTCCATTGAATTCATTACTATTCATTTGTTATCATTCATCATTATTTACTTCTTTCAGTTTATAATGAACTACATAGATACCGTGCTGGTGCCGATTTGGCACAATGTCGTCCCATGGGAGGTAAATGGTAAACCATCGTCCAGTCGTCCATTCCCATACTCCACACAGCACCGTACAGATCAGACACATCGCGATCAGGAACAGAACAATCTGAACTCAGCATCCAGGTACACAAGTCGATAGAAAATTCGATCAAGATAGGAAAACAATCTGTACAAGCTAGAGAGGAATTGTTTGTTATAGTTAGCTAGTTTGGTAAGAGATATCACAAGAAAGCAAGTTCCTCAATAAAGTGGCATGAAAGTATTTTAGTAAATAAATACTCAAAATTCTTGGGACACATTTCTAAGCCGATAAATTTCATTGGTGAAGAGAAGGAGAAATGCTCACTCCCATGATGAGGATGTTGAGAAAGCGATCGAGACTGGTCCGTTTGAATTTCGTCTTTCCGGAATTCATCATTAGTTTAGTGTCTTTTCCAGCAAAAATCACAAGACCATAACACCTTAATGGATTAGTGAAATCGATATGAGCACGAATGTACCAAACGGATTAAATTGTTCCTCTTTAAATGTAGCACACTTGCGATTACAAAGATAGCGGTGAATTGCTGACGTCAACCTTACTCACCATCTCGTGTTCTTCAGTATGCATCCTCTCAGCAAGATGTTATCGTTGGTGATGGGTAACTCTCTTCCTTGCCAGAGTAGTTTCCCTTGGAATTTCTCTAGCCTATTGTTCGGCGCCTCACATACGATCTCACCTAGAAACTTACTTGTGAAAGAATCGTTTATGACCAAGAAGTAGCGGATGAAATAATTACGAACAATTTGAGCTGGAAGGAAAAGCAAGAAATAAAGCCAAAATCTCAGTTGGAAACCTGAATGCTCCTGTATTGATTCCCATCACCGCTAATGATTTTAGTTGCAAAACTTCTACCAGAATGCCAATACCAGAAACCAGCTCCTTCCTGACAGGAACCTAGTTTGAAGGTGGCCGACTACCTTCCGAATCACATCGCCCGGTCATCGCCTCAACTGCAGGTCTCCTGGGAATGCAACTTCAACCCTAACAAGACTACACACAATGGAAAAAACATGTATCTCAACTTAAAACCTGTCTGCAACATTGCATAGTGACACAATCACTGAAAGGACGTCAAAATTCCAACTGCACAGTAAGTCACGGAAACGAATCAAAACAATATGCCTACGACAACACATGAAGATTATTCGCAATGCAGTGCACAGCGAAATTTTTTGATTCGGACGAAAAAGCATGCGCATTAGTAGACAAAAGAGACCCCCTTCAAGCCTTCCTTTTGCACATGGCATCGTTATCCTTTTCGGGCGTATCTGTGAAATAGTGACCCCACGGTTAACTCAACAAAGCAATGAAAAGGTGCTGTACTACTACTAAGTTGGGTAACAATCCAATTAGTGAAAAACCTGTGATGTGATGAAAAATGAGATCGAGGTGAATGGTTCTTTAATTGCCTGAGAATATCTATGGAATTTACCAAACATGGGAAGGTACCTAAAAAAAATTCTCCAGAAAAAGGAAAACAGCATGTATTCACGATTAGAAACGCTTCATGGACTTCGGAGTGATGTCGTGGACTTCAATATGTTGGTAAGTAACCCGATAGGTCATCTCGTTTGGCGAAGGCTGAGAAAACACCGTTCATCTCGCGAGGGCAGTCCCTATTAGTTCCAGGTGAGTTACAAATTTCATCACTATGTTTCAAGGGTGAAAAAAGTTGCTAGAGATAACCAGTTTAATTTGGCCTCTAGCAAATGCATGTGCTGATGCATCCGTATTGTGTTCAGCTTGAACTAGAGGAATAATTCATTATTCTACCATTCGTAAGCACCTTTTCTGCTAATTGAAAGGAATTGGAGTGATGGAAGGCTTCATGTTATGGAACAGGTACTAAAAAAGCGACCACCTTAAGACAGCTTTCGTACTACTCGAGCCTTCAGCAATTTATCGCTTGAGGAACGAGTAACTTAAATGATTAAATCACAGTCTGACAACGCCTAAGCCAAGAAGATGATCGAAAAACCTCAACCTTCCATGACGTGGTAACTAAATATAACAAATACTAAAGTTAGAAAACAAATGAAACAATAAAAACCGAAGTGAACTACCAAAAGTAAGACAGGACTCACCGTGGAAGCTACTGATGGCATCCAAATCATCACCCATCTCGGCCGTGTCAGGTATTGCAGACCTCGTCTTCAAATTTGTTTCACCGTCCAACTCCATCGTCTCGATGTAACAGATACCGTGTGGTTCAGAAGTAGACAATAATATTAAGTCTGCCTAAAACATGGTCTCAATCAACTTCGAAAGAAAATGGTTTAGTTTACAAACCGGACGAAATTTTTGAACATCAACTGGGAAAACCTGCAGTTTTATGCCGTAAACGCGAAAAAATCTCTTTAAATGGCTCCATTTTCAGCTATCTGTTCCATATAAGTAGGCCAATGAACTTTCACATGAGCAGCCTACGTGACTCGAAACATTTAGTCGCTTATTTAACTGGATGTTAGTTTGAAACTTTCGTGAAATGGAGATTAAACACCTGTGCACTAAATCTTTTGGATGCCAAGATCACGTTCGTGAAGAAATCTAAACGCGAACTCTTTCAGAAGATATCTTTCTACTTCTGTTCAACAAACACGAGGTGCTATTTTATTTCTTTATTCACGCACAAGCTGACGTTTCGGCGGATCTTTCTTTCAGAAGAATTTTGAAGCGACAAAAGCGAAACGTCGAAGATAGAAATCCGTTTTGCTCCTAAGTAATAAGAAGGCTATATGAAGGAGTGGATTTGATGGAGGTGGTAGATGAACGAACCGCGACAAACTGGTTGCTCATCATGCGAATCACGTCGCCGACTCGCACGTGGCTCCATTCTTCTTCGTTCAGATGTCCGTTACGCACGACGTACGACTTCCGACAATTCACATGTCGGTCGGAGATGTGTCGTTGCTGAAAATGAGGGCATTCCACCTTTATATGAGTAGGCAAAGAACCCAACATTCGAGACAGCGGTTGTCTCTGCCCTAGTCACCCAATATCGGACCAATTATAAACCTGCCAGATAGCGTCAATTCCCCATAAATTTTTAGTGAATAGCAAATAAAACAAGGCTCAATGCTACAAAGCAAATAAAAAAACATGGAAAGCGTCACGCAGATAAGACACTCATAATATGTTGAGAGCTGAGAAAAGCTCAGAGGTATTAAACTAGGCACCAGGCATTATATTATTATGTCAAATTTTTATTTGCTACATAATACGATTTTTCACGGTAGGGTATTATGTGTGATACAACCACGATGATGCTCAGATATTTGCAAAACCCCAAACCGCAGGCGTCTGCGGTGGGGATCGAACACGCTATTACCCTCACCGAGAGCTAACGCATTCACCACCATACCATGCGAGTCCTTCGTTTCGTCTTTCTCTCAGCAAGTTTTTTATCTACCAGTTTTTATACTATTGTTTAACTCGTATGAAATGCTCAGATATTTGCAAAACTCCGGACCACAGGTGTATGCAGTGGGGAACGAACACGCGCTGCTCCCCGGTAAGGACTGCATACACCTGTGGTCCGGAGTTTTGCAAATATCGCAGCATTTCATACGAGTTATATTTCACAACATACCCTGCCATTAAGAAGAAAAAGGCAGTAAATAAAAGAGTTAAGACTATTGTTTAAATTTCCTCGATGTCCTTTAATAGTTTCTGTGGTTCTTAAGACTTGTTTTTCAAGTTTATGAAAGCAGTTTGTGATAATTTCTAGAAATGTTCGCCAAAAATACACAATTTACCTGACAACTTTCACTTCGAAGGAGAACGATGAGATGGAGTAAAAAAATTAGATACCCATCATATTAAAATTTAGTTTAATTGGGATACTATAATTTGTTTAGAGCTTACCATATCATCATATCCGTCTTTGATGGCGCTGAATGAAAGCACAATTACCAGTGGAATAGCTGTCGAAAACCACGATATAGAGGAGATTTGTGGGATAAACTAAACAAAAAAGCGCTCTAATATCTTAATAATGGTCTATTTATATTTGAAACCTAGCGCGAAAAATTGTTTCAAACAGTTTGAATTCGAAAAAGTAAGCAAATTGCTATCTCCTGAGCACTGGTTTCTGCACATTGTGCTCAACGATATGTTCCTAGCAAAGCTTTACACATGAGATCAACTCACTTGTAAAATCATCAACACTAAAAAATAGAAATTGGCAATTCGTTGAAACTGTTCGAATAAATTCTTGGGAATGAACGTGATGATGTTGTACTTAGAGGTCTTAATGTAGTTACCCTGAAAATCACCACAATAAATCATAAATAAATCTTTAAGAAAAGTAGTTTGATGAAGGGAAACATCCAAAAAAGAAAGTCCTAGTGAACGCTTAAATTACGAGTCATAAAGTCTCTTTATGTCGAAATTGATTTCTTTTTGATGATTCCAATGCATCGCACAGAGCTGGCGACATCAAGCGTCACTGAGCGACATTTGGCGACAGCGGGAATTGAGACAACAGCAATGCCTGATAGCCTAGGCGCCTACGAGCATCGTTTGCTATGTTTCCCTGTCCAGGTTAAGCTTCTAGTAATGTATAGCGAACGTTGAATGGTGAACTGACCGCATATCCGAACTGAGAATTATAAACCCGATCGTTGGCTCGAAGGCGGCGCTCTTCTTCACCTCTGATGACTTCGTCGTCGCTCGACGTCGCGTCACGACTGCAACAGCCGCAGAGTCGGTCGAACATCGAACCAGAACGTGCAGAATGCACTATCGCTGCAGAGTTAAGATCTTTTTAGAAACCTTTTCGAATGGCGTGATGCTTAAACTCGATAGGAGAGAATGGAAAACACGGAAGTGTCGCAGGAAATCAAAAAGGAAAGCTATGAAACGGATATGAAGCGAAAATAGCTAGAATTTCGTGTACTCAATATTGCAATAACAGAAACTAAGTGAATGAAGTAGAATTTGCTAGAGAAAAAACTGCTGACTCTTACGATGACGTAACCTCTATGAGATTCTCTTTTGATTTGAAGCATCCTGTCAGTATTTTTCATCAAAACAAGGGGAACTAGCTCCACGCTTCACAAGTTCCAGCTGTGTCTATAGCCAACTTATAAGAAAAATCGGTTAAGAAATAGAGTACCACTTTAATGTTAGAAAACCAGCATTTCAGACTTATGGTTTACAAAGGAAGAATATAAAACTTATGGGAGAGAAGGTTGAGTTTTTTAAATGGCGAGACTCACATTCCTTTTGTTCAGCCGCTACGTAGAGCGGGCCGTCAGACCCGTTCGCTGGAGCCACAGATGCTGAAATTAAGAGCAGATTTTTTCCATTGAAAAGATATAAGAACTCAGAAAAATAGTTTGTAAATGAAATAGAGACAATGTTTTACTTTTTATTTACTACCTTCTATAATTTTTATGGCAGGGTATTAAGCGAAATACAACCACAAGATTGCTCAGATATTTGCGAAACTCCGGACTGCAGGTGTTTGCGGTGGGGAACGAACGCGCTATTGTCCTTTCAGGTGAGTAACGCGTTCACCACCACACCATGCGGGTTCCTCGTTTGGGCTGTCTCTCAGCTAGTTCTATCGATCAGTGCCGTCATTCCTCACCGCAGCACCTGCGGTCCGGAGTTTTGCAAATATCTCAGCAATCTTGTTGAAATAGAGACATTTAATTCTATCACCGAGGGTTATTAGAATATACTAAGTATTGGAAAGAACAGCGCTTCGGTTTAAGAGGCAAAAAAATCTGAACCGACCAACGCGCATTCAAATTACAGAGGGGCCTCGGAGTTCTGCAATAGTTAATCAACGTGGAGGTCAGCGTTCTAGCAGATTCTTCACCTTAAAGTTCATTTCGATTCTGATAACGACCTCCTATCAATCTCCGCAACGGAGTCGAACAAATTATGAAATGAAGTTAGTTTTACCACACGGTAGAAGCTACTGGGGTGGTTCATGCTGGATCGATGTCGAATACACCGAGATCTCGATGAATGAGAAAAAATTCTGAACCATACCCATACTTTGCAAATGTTTTTAAAAGTGTAACTTTTCATTCCTCCCAACGGTTTACCACCTCATCGTGACTGGGAGGTCTTCTTGCGTGTCTTGCGATGTATAGCGGGGGGGGGGGGGAATCGTCCCTCCGGCAGGATCTCCCAAGCTGAGAAGGAGTCCAGCGTTTCCATCAGAAAGCCCCAGCTAAAAGTGAACCAATACCAGGATCCGTCACAGTCCAGGCACCAAACTAGTCGCATGGTGGAAATCTCTCTCTGATCCACAAGAGCTGCGACTGTCTGTCGTGGTGACGAGCTGGGGCAGACTTTGGCCAGGATGTCCTCGGCACACCAGGGAACCATTATGACTTAACCAGCAAATCTCCGAAAAATGGTGATTATGATGTGGGGCCCGTAAGAATTCCATATATGATAAATTGCATGTGTATTTATAGACGTGTAATGAACTATTAGAGGTGCCCTGTAGTACAAATGCAGTCGACCCGGCACCTCAGGCTCACCTAGCCTTCCATCCCTTAGGGATCGGTAAATTGGTACCAGAGTTGTCTGGAAAGATAGCAACACGTGCCCAATACATCGGTAGGCCATTGAGAGTCATCGTGGAAGCCAGATATGCATTGAATCACCTCCAACGATGCTTAATGAAGTTGAATGCATGGCGTTCCCGTTAAGGATTGATCAACTCCAAAAGCTTTATCCTTCACCCTTTTATTTTCAGATATACATTTTCCTTCCTTACACTTCTCGTCTCAATTCGAAGTGTCACATCGCATTTGTTCAGCCAATAGGATTTTAGCGGAAATCGTTGCCATCGTGGAAGAACACTACTCGCAAAGCAAGAAACTTCCTCTCGATTGATAAAGGTTAGCGAGGGCCTGTGGTGAAGGCTTAGCAACCGAGAAATACAGATACCTCGAGATCTCATGGCAATGAACGATCAACAAGGATTAAGGATAACGATGAGGGAGGAATATTGTTGATCCACAAGTCATAGCTGAACTCATATGCGAACGTGACCAATTCTTTGGATGACAGACATTAAACTACAGGATGAACTAAAGATGAACTTGCCTATAATTTCGAAAGAACATTTCGTTCCGCACTTTGAAATCAATAGTTCGATTCAATGTCTATTTGTCTTTGATCATGGTTACGATACAAAACAAAAACGCCAGCAAATCCGAGTTTCTCAGGTTTAGTGGGAGATAAAATATGACTATGTGAAAGAAAATTTGTGTCAGAGAAGGACGTTAATTTTTAAACAAGCTGAATTCCATCAGACTGACGGTGATAGGCAACTAGAACAAAATTAGCATAGGAATGGACCACCCCAAACGGACGCAGATTAGAGGAAAAGTTCAATTTTGGAACTAGACAACTCTTCAAAAACATCACTTTCAAAAGATAGCAATATGGAGAGAATAAATTAAAATAATCGAACGAGAGGTCGGAAAGAGCAGAGATATAAATCAACTAGAGAATGTGGAGCAAAAAGTCCGAAAACTGAAAGCAGAAAGGAAGTGTACCTACAACAGAAAAGAAGAAGCAGAAGAAAAATGACTAAGGCCATACATCACCAAATCGCCAGCGGACAAGAAACCCTGAGAAGTTGAACTGTGAGCTAAACAGCAAAGGGGAGAAAAGCTCATGAGAAAAAACAAGCAGATGATGATAAAGCGCTATAGGGATACAAGGAAAACGCCCAGCATGGAGAATTCCATTGAAATGAAATGTTGATTTAGCATTAGGCGAGGTGTGCCAGTTGTGAAAATGTTGATTTGAAAGAATATGGGGTAAACATTTCCATGACACGCTGAATAATCTGGACACTGCCTTGAAACGATAAAGAAGACAGCCCGACAATTTCTCCTAAACACGAACGATCGATTCCAACAAGATGAACAGCTCCCTTTCAGTTTCTTCGGCCACGTTCCCCAACTGACAGAAAGCACAGCGGCTGCTGGAGATTTCCGACCCACATTACATCATCTTCGGCGTCCAATTCACCATCAGTGCTCATCACGTCAAAAACGAATATCGTTTTCATACCAAAAGCATGGAAAGATAAAGATATACCAGAGAAAAAATGAAAAACTAAAATTTGCCATATAAATGAAAAAGTAAGGCTTAAGGTATTTAAAATATTGAAGCACACAATGAGCATTTCTTGTGTATGTCTTTCGAGACCACAAATTGTTCTTCCAACAAAGATTTTTCCTCACGTTCTAAAAACGCTCTGAAGACTTAGTTGGTTGACAGGCTAACACATGGTCTCAAAGCTTTGTTCTGCTCAACACTTCGGCGCCATCGCAGTCTCCAGGGTTGTGACCACCCGGGTAGAATGTCCACTGCAGTTTTTTCTTCCCCTGATTTGAGTCTTCGTAGTGCTTCCATCGAGTCGAATCCAATAAAGTGAAGCAACACTCCAATGAGGTGCCCTCATCCCGCACTATCCTCTTACACCTTTTATACAATGCAGTTGTTTCGGTTGGAAATGAACTAACGTGGCAGCTCCTCAAAGTAGAGGATGGCCGTTGATCGATTATCATGCAAAATTATTTCTTTTATAGCAACTCCTGTTGGAGTCGGACTAATATAATTTAGCATAGAACAATACTTCCAAGATCGCCTTGCATTTAACCTCGACATGGACAACCAATGTCCTGATTTCCACTTCAAATTGACTAGTTTCCCAAGAACTTCCACTTATTTCGCCAACTTCTTCGTCACAGAACACATCGCACTACACATCATTTTAACCACGCATTCCACACAGACCTGTCCCTTTTCCAATACCGAAGGCATAATAAATCGATTCAGACATCGGAACCATTCACTGATCTTTTTCATTATCATTTGCCAAAATAAATAGTTATTTTAACACATTTCGGACCATATGAGTCATATATGAGTCAAACGTGGCTGGAAACAAATTGATGCCCATGGATTTGTGGTTACTGTAGATGATCACTATGTTTGTGTTAAAAACTTCAAAACTTGTCCAATATATAAATATTTTCTCCAATTCAGACTTGGTGAAAATTGAGACAAGCAATTTGGAAAACTTAGATGCACTTTGTTGCGATGGTGTGACTACATCTTTCCTATATAAATCTGTCAAGTTCTCAGCTATTCAAATATTCTAATGCCAGAAAATATGGGCAATGCATGAACATAAGTTCAAACGATGCAGCATATTCCCGATCTAGGTCTCCTAAGTTGAGAGCGAGTCGAGTTCGACAATTAATTCAGAAGTCTAGCTCTAGGTTGACAAGAACTAGGAG